TTATGTGAAATTTGAATTTTAGTGTCCACAAATAAAAAGAGGGTTGAGGACAAAACCCCAGGGAACACCAATATTTAAAGATCAGCTGAAAGAAAGAGGTCCACAAAGGAGATGGAGCAGGAAATGCTCCCAAAGTGGGAAGGGAAGCTAGGATGAGACTAGGAAGAGAATCAAGACCCTTTCATTTTCACATTGCTTATGGCTGTTTTCCTGCTAAAATTGAGTCCTCATGAGAGACATTGGCAACCCACAAAGCCTGAGATATTCACTATCTGGTCCTTTATAGGTAAAGCTTGCCTACCCTGGTTTAGCACCAGGTGGCTTTGTGCCACACTCCTCCCCTACAGTCCTGGTGGTGTCATGAACTTCTACTGACTTAGAAGCCTGAGTCTCTCCACTGCCAGAACCACTGATGGGTTAGTCTTCAAAGGCTGGGAGATTGAGGAAAACCATCTTTTGTTCTTTGGAATGTTACAATGATCTCCAAACCCTGACACCCTGTCCCCACCAGTCTGACAAAAACACACACACACACACACACACACACACACACACACACACACACACACATTGCTGTTCCAGATTCTCTAGGAGGTCATGAGATTGTTTTTTTCTTTATATTTTTGGTTATTATTGCTACTTTTATTTATTAAAATGGGATATGACTTTGGAAACTTTCAGAAATGCTGATGAACCATAGTTACATAGATTAATTTCTCAGATTACTTAATTACCACATTAGATCCTTCCCATTGCCTCTTCCCCCACCCCTTCTGTCTCTCTTTCTCTATCAGACTTGAGGCATACACACTGACAGTTTCTTCCTCACTTCCCACTTACTTCTCAGCCCACCACAATCTGGAGCTGACTCCCACTACAGCACTGAAACTGCACTCATAAAAATGTCAACCATCTCATAATCACCAAATCTAAGGACACTTTTCAGCCCTACCTTGACTTCTGAGAAGCATTCTGCTGACTTTGCCCTTGTTCATGGAAGAACACTCTTCATTTCTCTGATATGCTTCCTTCTTGTTCCACTAACTTTTTGTGTGCACCTGGTGCCTCTAGCTTCTTACCCATTAGCGGATCTCACAGTGCTGGTTACTGGTTATGCTCCACTGTCTCAGTGCCGCACCCACCCTCCTGTACTGTGTTCTGAACCAGGAGTCAGGTGTGTGTCTCCCAGCCTCCCTGGTCAGCTGGCTTCCTGTTAGATTCTGCCAGTGGGAGGCACTGGTGGGAGATCAGAAGGCAGGAAAAACTCAGAAGCTTCCTGCTTCAGCCTTTAACTGGGTTGTCAATTGTGGTAATTGCTGGTAGACTTAGTAACAGGAAAAATGAGTGATTCTGGACTCTAGCCTGCCGAGGAGAAATACCTCCTCAGTGATTCCAGCCTTGAATAGATTGAATCTGACTATGACAGTCTCTCACTGGGCAGCAGCAGGTGTAGGTGTGGATTCCAGCTCAGGGACTTTGGCAGCTTCTGATTCCCAGGTATCCATCTCTCTTTTTTGAACTTCCAGCCAAGCCTCTTTCTCCTTTTTGTAATTCTTTCCCTTTTAATACCTTTAAAGCCAATTCTCTATATTAAATTCTCTCTGTCTAAAGTACATGGACTGAATGTGTTCTCCTGTCTGGATCCTGGAAAATAAATGGCATGAGATTTGGGGTTTGACCTATGCAGATTTACATCTTTGTTTTACTTCCTCTCTTTTAGTAAGGTACTGAGAGAGACTACATTCATATAACTTTTAATATGTTGTTACAATAGTTCTATTTTATTTTATTTTTTAGAGAGAATTTTAAAATTTATTTTTTAGTTTTCGACAGATACAACATCTTTATTTGTATATGGTGCTGAGGATCGAACCCAGGCCGCACACATGCCAGATGAGCGTGCTACCGCTTGAGCCACATCCCCAGCCCAATAGTTCTATTTTATTATTCCTGCTGTTAATCTTTTTTTATTTTTTTTCCGGTACCAGGGATTAAACCCAGGAGTGTTTAACCACTGAGCAACATCCACAGTCCATTTTTATTTTTTATTTTAAGACAGGGTCTTGCTAAGTTGCTTAGGGCCTTGCTAAGTTGCTGAGACTGGCCTTCAGCTGTTAATCTTTTTATTGTAGGTTTGTATGTATGGGAAAAAACATATTTATTTATTTAGAGAAATCAATCAGAACTATCTGTGGTTTCAGGCATCCACTGGGGGGTCTTGGAATGTTACCCCTATGGATTAGAAGGGACTACTGATCCTTCTTTTTCTTTCTCCTTCTTCTTGGCTAATTTTATCAGTGACCTCTGCTTCAGTTTTTGTGCTCACCACTCCCACAATCAGGTTCTTCACCCACACCTGGGATCCTGATCCATACACCTCACTTATCCTGGGGGGG